CCAATTCATCAATCCCACAACGACATAGATGTTCTTCAGAATGAAAATACAAATTGCAACATTAATAGTTTGCAATAAACACAACAATATCCATCAAAATATAATCGAAACCCAACAAACTAGCTATCCGGCCAACCTTGGTCGTTAACTAATTTTGTGATGTACCTCTGTTGACCTTCCTTAGATTTAATGAAAAACCTCCTAGCTTCACGTTCATTGTCATATAAATGGTCTAAAACCCTATCGAGGAACTCCTCGGAATATTCTGACCTATGTTCCTTTAACGCTCCAGCCAACTGCTCAGTCCAGTGTATAACGTGTTGATTTCTCATTGACTGAGACATGGACTCAACAAAGGCACACAGCATTTCCTCTTCACGATTAGATTTTCTGGTTTTTTTGTTAGATGGTTAACAGCACCAGAACGTGGTTGGTTGCAAGCATCAGACTGTGGTTCAGCTTCACTCTCCTCTAGAATCTCGCAATCATCATCGGGAATAGGTATGGACCTACTAGACCCAATGTTAGCGTACACGGGTCTAACAAAATCACCCTTGGCTTGATCATCACCCATGATAACTTGTAAATTTTTGAAGTGAGGAAGGGGTTTGTTTATGTACGCTTTGTACTTAGAATTGGATTTGTCCTGCAATAATAAATACTTATAAATCCAGAGAATCAAATGTATTAAATTGAATGTGACAAGATAGATGCTGAATTTGTTATACCTGGGCCCAAATTTCAAGGTTTCCTCATCCAATGTAATCATTTTACTTGTTTCATCCCACCCAGCACCACTTATATCAAGGCAAGCTTTCATGTCATTGAATTTGTTCCGCAAACATTTCAAGTGGTTAATGACATGCAGGTGAGTGAAATACATTTTAAGTGGTTAATGACATGCAGGTGAGTGAAATCAGTCCTGAATTGCATGTTGATTTTCATGGCAGCCATTTTATAAGCTTCAGCCTTGAAGTTCTTGTCTGGCTTCATGCCATCCAATGCTAAATCTGCAAGATAAGGAATAAGCACATCATCGTGCTCTGGAAGCCAAAACTTATTAGCCACGCCTCTTGAGTTCAACCTGGCACACGGAACCTTATTTTTATGGGCTAATCTTTTCCCTCTTTTCAATGGCGAAGTGTGCTCCGCACCATCAACGTCATGAATATCCTTTCCACCTGAATCACCAGTGTTCGGTGAAAATTGATTAGGTCCACTACTTTGAGAACTGGCTGTGGGAAACATCAAACCTTGTGGACTGCCTAACAAGCTCATGTATGACATTGGCGGCTGTGTCATCCCACCATAATTACCATCCCATGGTGGGAATGGTGAGAAAGTATGCGGAGGTGAGGTGAATGGCTGTGGTCGAACAGGCATGTAGTTCATGTTAATCCCTGATGTAGGACTTGGCATTGCATTCGAATGAGAAGGCACGCTTTGCTTATCTGCCGGATTGTTAGCCATACCTAATATATTTTGTAAGCATAACCATATTAACAATAAAGAAATATAAAACAATATGGGATATGCATGCATTTATCAAGGAATATATGAAACGACGATATTTCTCAAACAACATAACAAAAGAGCAACCGATAAAAGTAGTAATGTTTTGGTACAAGCAAATTCACCAAGTTATTACATAGCCATAGGACAAATACTACACTAAGTTAAACCGCTCTCCATTGTGTTACCACCATTGTACTTTGCACAATAATCCACCCACATCGCCCAAGCAATTTGATCTCGTAACTCCTTCCATTCATTTCTAACATCTCGATCCTCTCTTTGTGTCCTACTTTGAGTATAGTCCATCACATTTGATTCGTCCTCATTTGTCTCTTCCCCAGTATCTTCATCAATTTCAACATTTTCATTTAAAATATCATCATCCGGATCCTCCAAGGCAATAAAGTTGTGCAACACAGTACACGCTAGTACAATGTCCACTTGAGTGGGAAATGGATAATTCGGCTTCCCCGCAAGAATTTTAAACCGATTCTTCAGTATCCCAAATGTGCACTCAATTTTTGATCTTAAAGATGAATGCCTTAAATTGAACAACTCCTTCCTATTCTTTGGTGTCCTACCGGTGTGCTCTTTTAAATGATATCGGACACCGCGATACGGGGATATGAAACCTGGCATTGTGGTGTATCCAGCGTCACATAGGTAATATTTACCTACATTAATTAAACAGTATTTTAAAATCTCAAATATTGCCAAGTATTTAATATATTATTCATAATATGCACAAGTGAGAATGAATACCATCGTAAACTCGGAGACCGTAAGGCTGTGGCCTAGACAGGGCGTCTTGTAATACCCTATAATCATTTGCTGCCCCCTCCCAGCCAGCCAAGACATAAGTAAATAGTTTATTGGGGGTGCAGGCTGCTAAGATGTTTTGGGTGACCCCTTTTCGCCCTCTAAACCGTGCAACTAGGTCACTAGGTAACACCGCGTCGACGTGTGTGCCATCTATCAAACCAATGCAGTCCTATAAAAAATTATAAATTATACATAGTTAAATAAAAAAAAGTTTATTTGGAAAATTATTAAGTTGTATGTATTTAATTTACCTTAAAGTACGGAAAATAATTTGAGTTGTTTGCAATCTCCTCGGGAACTTCTTTTGGGGCTTGCTTCATGTACCGATCACGTAATCCATTCATTGCTTGCAAGACTTTATTGAAATACCTGCTAACTGTTTCCCCTGATCTTATGAACTCAGTTCTTATTATTCTATTTTTAGTTTTGTGCCCTATAATACTCAGGAACATAGCAAGCTGTTCTTCAACTTGAACGTGTCTCGTATCTTTTAATAAACCGTTTGCTTTCATTACTTCAACAAGTTTAAAAAATGCCCTCGGTCTCATTCTAATATAAGATTGGCAGCTATCTTGATAGCCCTCCAGTACACGTCTGAAATGAGCCTCTCTACAATATATTTTCCTGACCCTTTCTTGCTGCGAACAATTTGGTATTCTCTTGCGCTTAGCACGCATTCTCAAAATACATGTTACCAAAGTGACCACGGCGCAGACAGCTGTATTAGCACACATCCTCTTCAATTCTTCCTCATCTTCCATATCCATCTACAACCGTTTTAAAATTATCATACAGTTACAGCTTAAGATGGCTACTTATTTCTTGTCAAAATTAAGTAGATAATTGATACAAATATTTATTTCTTTTAAAGCAAGAAATCTAATTGAAATGAAAATTATTTTAACTAATGTTGCATTCCATCTCACACAATTCTAAACAAGCAAGATAGACCCAAAACAAACAAACTATATGGTTAGATTACTAATAATTTACACGCACACAAAAAATGAAATAAAGTAAAAAAAACAGCAATTTAAGTTATTAAAAGACTGATTTGAAACATATTATGAAATTAATCTCTACACAGATACCCGCATGAAATTAATCTACCTAACAACCTAATTCTTGCACATTTACAAAAAATCCACTACACAGATACCCGCATGAATTGTTTTGCTGTAATATTATGAAATTAATCGCTTAAATCATTGAAATTGCTATCAGCCTCTATTTCTCATATGCTTCAAAATTAAAATTAATTCCTCAAATCACTGGAGAAATAAGCCAAAGTAAGAGAGGAAATTTTTTATACCTTACTGCAGAGGGGGGGAAATGCCGACGTTCAAGCAAAAAACCCACTGAAGTCAAAGAAAACACCGTAGCCACACTCCAACCAGAACAAGATAGAGAAAGAGGCCCGAACCCAAGTTGAAGAAGACCCCAACCAGAAGGGATCACCAAGAATCGAAGGCAAGAAACCCACCAACAAGCTCGTGGAAAACAAAGCTAGGGTTTCGAGAAAGAGGCCAGAACCCAAGTTGAAGAAGACGAAGCGCGGGAGCAGAGGTGCGAAGAAGAGGGCGATGAGGTCCAGATCTAGGGATCAAAATCGTGAAGATGAGGAATCGGAATCGACGACATAGCGCCCTGTCAGAAATCTCGCCCAAATCCGAACCCAACGCTCGGATTTGGGTTTATATAAAAAACGACAACTGTAGCTACTTTATGGAAATTGTAATCCCAAAATTTTTGCTGAGCCAAACTCCAGAATAGGATTCACAAAAAAATCCAAAAATTACGAAAATGCCACTGTCAGAGCCCAAATACTAATCCTATTCTATAAAAGGGTGAAACAAACATGCCCTAATAGAGGGTAGGAATAGGATTAGGAATCCTATTTTATTTATGGATTCCAACCTAATCCATAAAAAATTTATAGACAAGTTTTAGTTTTATGGAATCCTTTTTTTTTATTCTATGTTTGTTTCACCCAAAGGATTAGGAATAGGATTAGGAATCAGAATAAAAAAGAGGAGATGTGTCAGAAATTCCACCCAATTCCTAGCAAATGGTCTGGATTTGGATTTCCTGAAATATACACTGTTTGAGCCACTTTATAGATTAGCAATTCTATAAATTTTTTGATTTGGATTTCCTGAAATATACACTGTTTGAGCCACTTTATAGATTAGCAATTCTATAAATTTTTTTTTGAACCAAACTCAAGATTAGGATTCATTTGGAATCCATTAATTACGAAAATGCCATTGTTAGGTCTAAATACCATTTCTATTCCATAAAATTGGTGAAACAAACAGGCCCTAAAAATAGCTGTTTGGTAATCATATATAAGTAGCTATTTCTAAAAGTAATTTAGGTGTTTGGCAAAACTTTTCTTAAAGATTATTGTCAAAAAATAAATGACATATATGATATATAAACTTTAAAAAAACAAAAGTTGCTTTTAAAATCATCGTTACGTTGCTTCTAAAAGCACCCTCTTAAAAGTAGAAGTAATTTCAATAAGCATGTAAAATTTTTTACCAAATATTATTATTAACTACTTCTTGGGAAAAAAAATCGCTCTAAAGAGAAACCAATAGAACTGACGATAATACCCGTAGCCTTTGAGGTTAAGGGGATTTCTGATATCTGCTCACCCACTTCTCTGCTTCTCAGTTCAAATTTCGAATTCTCTCGATACTTCACAGACCTTTACAAATTCCGCCGGTTTACTATACCGCCATGGGCCCGCGCTGAGCCGGTGCATTTTAGAGCGACCCCTTTCAAAATCCCACACAAAGAGAAAGCAATGGCGGGCCGCGAGCAGAGAGAAACCCTAACCCTAGCGTTAGGCAAGCGGAGGTCGACAGAGCTTGATGGAGAAGAGGACGACGAAGATGAGAGAGACCTCGAGGAGCTCGAGAGGGAGGTGAAGGAAATGGCCGAAAAGATCCTCGAATGTCGACGAACGATGCCCGGTCGGATCTTTGAGGCCTTGTCTTCTCATTTGGTAGCTCAGAGACCTTTGATTCCTGATTTAGGGTTCACTTCTTCTTCTTCTTCTATATCTGGTCGCGATACGGAAGCGGGAACAAGCAGGGGTCCGAGCAGAGGTACGAATCTAGGGTTCTTTCCTCTAACCCCTCTCGAAAATGGCATCAGCTACAGATTTTGAAATTGGAATTTTGTTCTTTTTTCCCTCTCTTTGATTAATGACTTTCACTCGATTGTTCGGCTATATCATATTCTGGCAAAATTCTATAGATACGGCAGATTGGAAGTTCATAATAAGCAATCTTTATTTTTATGCCCAAACGAGATGTAATTATGCAAATAACTTCTGCAGATTATGATTTAAAAGGAGTTATTTTGTTAGGAAAATGCTGGTTAGCTGGTTACTGAAGGAATGGAGATGCTTCTTTGATCCATGAATTTACATTGTAAGTCTTGTAGGTACTTTAAAACAAGGTGAAGGGGAAATTTCGAGACCACCTTCTATCGTTTGCATATATAGATTGTGGTTCTAGAAAGAGGTGAAGGATAACGCATGCACAAATGCCGTATGTTATTATGACGGAATTTACTATATTTGAGAGGCTGTAGTTGATTCGGTATTGAAGGTTTATAAAGCAGAGATAGTTGTTATACATTTTGGTTGCTACTTATTACAATACAAATAGGAACATGACTTAAGCTTGTAGACAGCTGACTCTAGTGTTAGAAGTTTGTTGTTTAGGAGTTCCAGCTTTTTGTTGGTTCTTGTTAAGTAATGTACCTTTATATTTTAAGCTAGGAAAAGGTGATAGTTGATTATTCTTATCTAGAAAGATCAAATCTAAGTTCCAAAGGGTCATGGTGAAATATGATGTTTCTTTCTGTATTTAATGTGGAAAATCCACAAGAGTTATTACATAGATGCTGAACTATGAAGAAATAAGGTGATGTACAATGCTACTTGACTTTATGTACATTGCTATATTTTTATCAATGTCAAAATTGATGAAGACAGTGTATGTTGAGCAGTTCTTTTATGGCTTAATATTTTTTCACCCTATTTGATTGAGTGATCAATTACTGAAGCATATGCTTAACCCATGTTAACTTAGTGAACTAGGGCATTTGTTGTTTAATCTTTGCTAACTTAGTGAACTTGTAATGTAGTAAGTCCTATTTTTATGTTGAAGCACTGAGAAGGTGACAGGAAGAAACTTTATATGTCCTTGGGCAAGCCTTGAAAGCAAGGAATTTTTTTATCCCTTTCGGTTATGCTATTATGCTAGTGCTTCATCAGGTCTGGCTGCATAATGCTCATCAGCCTTACCTTAAGGCTTCACAAATTCCAGTTATTTACCCTACGTAGATGACATATTCTTTTGTGTTCCACTTAGATGATTTACTTGGCCTTGGAACATCCGGTTTAGAAAAACACTATTGAAGATGAAGCCCTCAGAATCATATGATTATATTATTTATCACTTGTATGCTGCATATCTCATGAAAAAACTAATCAAAGTTAATTATGCAAAAAATTCTTTGTAATGAATTAAGCTCAAAGAAGTAGACAACAGCCTGGGAATGAAGCAAATGAAATAGAGAAGTTTCTCTTCTCCCTTTTAGTCATACATTAAGTGTATTATCTGGGAAAGGGCTACAAAACTCCAAACAGGTTGTTGCTGTATATGATAGACCCCCTCCCCCCCTCCATTGAGAAATAAATAAAAATATGCATTGTTGTAAGAAACCCTAAAATGTGCTTCATTTAAACTAAAGCTAATAAGTGGCTGCTTTGCTTCAGTCAAAAGCTATAAAATTAAGCTCCTATGTATTGTAAAAGCTTGAAATTTTACTTCAGACCACTTTAGCCCTCCTTGTGTGTTTAACTGGAAGTAAAGATCCTGGTTTGGTTCTCCGTGCTCTAATTTCTTTCCTATTCAACTTGATTAAAATTAAACCAACTTTGGATTCACAGAGATGTGTTCTTCAATTTATTTTCTCTCCATGTTCTCTTTTTTTTCTTGGGTCAATGAAAGTTTTTATTCATTACCAGGTATAAGAGTTTTGAGTACTTCACTGTGTCCAATTTCATAACCTGGGATTCAAAGACAAGCTAGAAAAATAGATGAAAATTACAAAATCATGATCCACTCTTTTCAGTCATTAGGATAGTCACTATTAAGAACAACCTGTAAATCTGAGATTTTCAGAAAAAGACTCATGACCCTTAGCTTTATGCAGAAGTATCCTTCAGTTTCTCTCTGCCAGATAGAGTAGGCTGCAGCTGCCAATGCCATTCTTTTCACTTTCTTTCGTAATCCTCTGCCTTTAAATCTAGTGCATACCAAACAAGAACATAACTCCAGTTGCAGGACTGCCAATTGAATTTTAACCAGCTCATTACTGAATTCCAGATATGCAAAGAAAAGGGATGCGCAAAGAACAGATGTCCATGAGTTTACTCACTACCTGGATCACATAATACACAACAGTTTGAGGATAAAATACCAAAATGGTTGAGTCGATCTTGAGTAGGTAGCTAATTGTAACCTACAACTATTTTCATTAGGAAAGAATATTGTAACAATAAAAGTTTGTATAACCTTCCAAAAAGTTATTTCTTATTATTTAATTGTTTTCATGTAATTTTCTTTATATCCTTTTGCAAAATCTTATGCCTTGTAAACAAAGCTGATCTAGCAGAAAACTAACACTTCAGAATCAGTGTTGCAGTCTTTATTATCATGTTAGGCAAAATATCTGAAGTTGTTCAAACTTTAAGCTTCTTGAGTTAAGAAGCATTATTGATCACCATTCTTACAAGAAAACCAGTTGTTTTTTGCTTCTCTTCCTTCTCTTTTCAAGTAAAGAAAAAATGTTCCCGGGTGAAAGGAAGAGTTTCAAAGTGAAGTTTAAATTCAAATTTGACCATTGAAGTTATGTAAGATGTGGAGAGTGGCATTTGAAGTCCAAAGTCTGCAGCTCTGTATTTCTCTTTGGTTATTTTTTAACCAAAATTTTTTTGAGCGCTCGTCTTTAGATCTGTAGATCTATGAATGTTTTCTCCACATTTAAAAATAAATTTATTTCATTGCAATCATATAGCAGATAGACACAACATATCTTAACTTACATACTATAAACATATTATGTTGTAGAATCTAAGTTTTAGTTGACATGTTCCTGGTGTCTTTTTCGGGATAACCTTTAAAAGTACAAAAAATTCTTTGTTTTAGGAACATATGTTATACCCTGGAACCATTTTATACTTAAAAGCCTACTTTTGCAGAACTGCGAGAGAATGATGAGTTGATTCAAGGGGCATCACTTGTAGAAGCTGATGCAGGGATGCTTGAAAAACTGCAAACTTTTAGGGATAAAACTGCTAGTAATGTCGCTCAACTGCCTGTCATTTTGAAGAGAATGAATGAGTGCATTGCCAGGCTTGACAGAATTGACAAGTACGATGTAAACTTACATTCTGCTTTCAAGAGGAAAAGGAAATGATTACATGTTTATTTTTTTAAGAACTTTTGTTGCTAGATGTCAGTAACGAAATATATATTGTAATTGTTTGAGAGGGATGCAAGTGCATCTCAAGTGTATGATCTGTATCTGTAAGAGCTTGATGAGATTTGGTTATGGAAATGTCATTGAATTCACAAGCTACCACTTGTGATCCTCAATTTGGCTATTTCAAGAGCTTCTTCTGTATTGAGTATGCTTGTGAATTGATCTGATGAGAAAATCTACTGGACAACAACTTGTACACTTGTTTACTATATAAATCCTATTGTTTGTTTCTTTCTCGTTTAAGCTAATGGGTTTGATTTTAGAGCTTACAAATTTGTCTACGGGTTTACATCTTGATGATTAGCATAGCTCTGATTTCTAGAACAAAGCTCATATACAGAAAACCAATCAATTTTACGGCATCAACTTTTGATTCAGCACATTGCTAAAATATGCAGGATGAACTTAACAGAATTATTGCTGTGATTGGAAGATTATATTCAGAACTTTTACTATTGGTACAAGTTACTATCCTCAGGGAGTTACTTGTGTAAACTGAGAAGCTAATACTCGTACAATTATGAAAGAAGCACCCAATTACATTATTTCAAAAACTATAGGGATGGAGCCATTTATATAATGTGTTGGTAACCACTGAAAGATTACATCTTTACCTTCACTTGAAGGAAGCACGTATGACAAATCTTCTTTCTCCAATCTGTACAGTTTCCCGTTGTTGTAGCTTCAGTTGGAAGGCATGATGCAGGTATGTATATTTCAACTTATGAGCACTTAATCTTGAAATAAAAGATACATCTACAAGCTTACAGGATACGTAGAGGATGAGTGAAAACTATTATTGTACGATAATACAAATCTGCTCTTTTACGATGAGCATTATCAAGATAGCTTCAAAAAGAAATCATTGGAAACACTAACAAACTTTGTGGATGAAAAATGTCGAAATCTCCACGCACTGATATTTCAATAACCATCTTGAGGAACACAATGGAAATGTGAGCATCTTCAGGATTGTCTTTGAAATGCCGCTGTGTGTGTGATGCAGTTGATCCTATAACATTTCCTACTCGTTTACTTCATAACATGATTCGAAAACAATAGGAAAGAAGAGCAACTGCACGAAAGAATTTGGTTTGAGTACGGATCATAGAAAATGGAGAACCTCACGTCTCGAACCAAATGATGTCACTTGATGGCTGAAGAACATTCAGGTCTTTAATGCCTCAAACATTTCACTGTATCCTTGAAGAATATAGTAGTACAATAGCTAAGCTTCTGTTAGGAAGTCAGCTGCAATCTTGATGGTGCAGAATTAGCACTCTCTTTGTTCACAATGACTTGAGAAGGTGCTTGTGGAGTTTCTAGAGAAAAAATAGCTTTAAGAAACTCATACGATGCAAAGAAGATAGCACCTTGAGAAATGTATATGGCCAATCTCGGAGTTAAGCCTCTGAAAAGAAAAAGGATAGAACCGATAAGCATAAAAAGGAGAAGCAGCATTGCTAAAATTTATTGACACTGGACCATTTTTCTAGAAAAAACATCGAGTTTGGGAAAGAAACTATTAACTATATCTTGCTAGTTTCCTAAACCCATACCTGTAAAGTCCTTGCAAACCTTCTTCCCTGGCAATTTCTTGAAGAGCATGAAGAACCCCATCATATTTTACAAGAGAGCCTGGAACCTGATCAAAATATTTGTCAGATTCATATGATTTTATTTTATTTAATTTTTTGCAACATCTATATAATAATGGGGTTATGATACCGATATCTACACTTGGAGAAAAAAGGTCAACGTGGAAAAACTTGAACTAGCACATCCTATTAAGATGTCTATGACAACTGCTATGTCAAATGAAACGTTATTAGTGACTATACCTAATTTAACACAAATCAGACAGTCAATTAGGCTCATCACCTGTATCTTTTCCTAAGTCAGATGGATTGCTTCATTTTCTTCCTTCTTTTTTAAGTGTAGTTGGTATTCGATATTTATATGCCTATTGCCTGTATCCCCATGGTTAGTTATTATCAATACATGACCTGTCAGTAGATAGCATAGTGCTCTATGTTTCTCTAATTTCACTTTGCCAAGAGACGATTAGTAGTCCAATCAGCAAGCAAACTTCTTTGCTAAAAATAGTTTCAGCTACCATTCTTCCTTCAGAAATGCAGTTCCCTTTAATGATGCAGTAAAATAGATTACATTAGTGCACACGTGATGACAAAATTGTATTAAGAATTACGAACTACTAACTTTTCCTGTCAATTCAATTAAATTGTAATAGCATTTTTACACAGTATGCCAACTTAACTCCTATAAATATTCTTGCACAATTAGTATGAGATCAAGTGGGATAAGGAACTTACAGCAAAACTACATGGTTCTGAAGTGAATAGAGGCCTCAATTTTCATTTCACAGTCAACAAGGAAAACTCTACTAGGAAATCAGAAATAATTTTCTAATTTGGACAAGTATGTCTAAAAACAAATTTGTGGAGGCGAAGCATTCAAATTATGGTTAAAACAAATGACACACCTGTGTCTGTAATCTTGTCTTCACCACATCAAAAGGAGTCGTAAATAGAGCAGCAGTAGATCCAGCAAGGCCCCCACATACTAACTGCAGTTTTATGAAAGCATGGTAAAATAACCATTATTGAGATGTATAAGTCAAGAAAAAATATATAATGAGAAGGAAGAAAGTTACTGCAATGATCTAAGATCAGAGTTAAGCATATACGAACTCACACAGAAGACGAGGAACAAAAGTTCATAGAAATGAAGTAAAATCTTCTAGCATAATGTCCTGAAAATTTCATACAGATGTAAAACCCAAATCTAGATCATCCCGATGTCAGTCTTCTACCATTTACGATGCGAAGAAAGATCTGTGTAAAAGGCATTGGCGCACACTGCAAACTGAGCAAACTTGAAGGGATAATAGATTTCACCAAAAAATGGATAGCTGTTGCACCCAGACCACAAAATAGAAATCCTTAAATTATTCAAAAAAGGAAGGCACCAGTCAAGGCAGCTAATAAATGCTTCAAACAAGGAAAAGAATCGCTATATGCTGGCTGCTATAGTGAAAACTGTAAATGATAAATATTATCCAATTTGAGAACCGACCACATTGTTTCCAGTGTAAGATAAACACCTATTGCAACACAACCATCCGTGGAAAAAAAAATCCAATTTCTTGAATTTAAGATTAAAGTGAAAAATGTGGATTTTCTATTAGAAGTTTGATCGGATATACGTGAATGACCTTCATAAGCAAAGAAAGACCAGGTACTCTATAAGCCCTCTCAAATGTATATAATCCAGGTGACCAAATATTACCTCCACAGTAGGTTGATCTCATTTTTAAATCTTATCAATGCTATATGATATATAAGACATTTTGTGTCTGCTAATCATAATTAAAAGAAATAAGTACTCTATTTGTATTAATATGCATAAGATTAGAGCAAACCGTTTGCAAGGTGCTGAGACTAGCATTGGGTTTTGATGAAGTCAAAAATAACTGCTTCAGACTTTCATAGGTGTAGAACTGCAATAGAAAATGACAACAATAAAGGGACTTGACATACGCATACAATACCAGATAGATGTAGATATAAACACCCAAACATCTGAAACTGTCGAACAAGTTATTAAAATTTTGGTGACAATGTTTGTAATACTTAAGAAAGAGGACCTTAATAACAGAGTGTGGGATATTTCTGCAAAGGACAGCGCCCAAGCCAGCATATAATGAAGGTACACCGCCTTCTCAAGGCATCCAATCAAAGCATTCCTGCCAAGAATCTAGTTAAGTATTTGATGACTGGTAGGATCGGAAAAAGTAAATAGCATATTAATATTAGCAATAGATCTAAACACAACTCACTAATAGATTCCTATACATTGAGATCCCATAGCAGCCCGTTGACTTTGAAATAAAGGTGGTTAAAAGTTGTTACGCATCTTATAACTCTTTTGATTTTTCGCAGTTCTGGCTTTTCTTCATGTCGGCTAATGCAAATTGCTAACTTAGGTGGCTTGCTTAGCTAGGTTAATATTGAATGGTACTGGCAAGAGCACTATGCATATTAGAGACTTTATATTTCATGGGTCTTCAATACATTTACCAAGAGAACAAATACAAGATAACGGACTTGTGATTTAACTAGTTAAATTTAACTGAAGGGAACTGCCAACAAAAGCCATTATTTGCAAATTATTTGCAAACTTAAAGATCTTGCTGCTGAAGACTGACACAGTGTCGTCGTGCTAATTTATCAGAAACAGAAGCAATAATATAGAAAATTCTTACCAACAATTTTTATACTGAGATCCCACTTGCATCTGTTGTTTAATCCGCTCACTGGGTGTAAAAATAAAGGAAGTTGCGATACTGGAACAACCACCTGCTATACAATGTGCAACAGAGTGATACTCCTGTTTGGAAGAAAGCAGTGGCACTAAAAAAGTTAAATGAAAGTCATAAGCATAAAAATAATGTCATCAAAATTATGGTAGGAATGTTACTTACCTTGGGTAGACTAGGTACTAAAACACCCTTGACCGATTCGTATGTGTAGGTATAAATTGCAGAAATTGGTGCTGCAGAAGCAATGTTGCTAGCAATACCACGATACAGTCCCAACACACCTGTAAACAGAATTATATGTATTAAATATTATTGTCAAATGATCCCATAAACATAATAGCAAGATAAACAGGTAAAATTCCTTCTATGTTTGAGATTTTACCTCTCTCAGATATGATTGTTCTGAGAATATCACATGATGACTTCTGACCTGTGCCCTGAGCTTGAATAACAGTCTTAACTGTATCCATAGGAAATAAGCAAAGACTAACTAAGGTTCCAGCCAATGCTCCTGCCAGGGCATGCTTATTCTTGGCAAAGACATGTTGGAGCTTATATTGTATAGATAAACCATTTCTTGTAGAACAGTCTTCATCAAGGACAACTTCACCAACTAAGCTTTTATGTTTTTCATTACTAGCTTGATCCTTGCAGGTGGAATGTTCTCCTAAAGATTCAACAGCAACACAACTGGAGCTGGAGGGGATACTAAAACATGGACTTGTTGAAATGACTATTGTCTCGTTTGTGTTTGCAACAGGTGGAGATTGAAGTAAATATGTAGTATAAAGAGAATTTGTGGGGTGGAACACATTATCCACCGAGTTCACATTTTGGCCATTAGAGGATTCTTCAGCTTCCTTTGCTGAATTATTCTCAGTACTGAGAGTAGAAGCAGCTAAAGAAATCTTCTTTTCAGTGATGTGGCTTTCTTCTGTTTCATGACATACATTTCTTGTGAGCTTACCCCGATCATTTAGACCAAGACGTGGTTTTGTAATTATGCTTCCATATTCATGAGTGGGATCATCAGAGATCCCCGTACTCGTCACCTTATTAAGTCTAGAGGAATCTACACTTGAAAGAGAACCACTCAAGACGGTTAGATTATTGAGGTTTCTATTGCATGAAGCAAAACATAACATCCTCTTAATTGCTTTCAAATCCTCAAAGTTTGATTTTGCAGAGGATGAGAAACAGCTTTTAGAAGAAAGATCATTTTGATTTCTTCCCCCATCAACAGAAGTCACTCTGTGAGTTGAACTGTCCGAACAGCAGACAATATTCCCTTTTGGGAAAATTTCACTATATTTCAAGCTTGATTTGGTCTGAAAGACCGCTGGTTGACCAATGCAGTCCCACACACTTGCAATTGCCGATACAAACTGCAAAGTACTTACCTTAGTGCTAGAGTATTTGGTTTCCGGTTGTTTACAGCCTTTTGCATGAGACTTGGACTGTAGATGAACATCCTCATTAGCGAAGGCAGTATCTGGTTTAAAGGACTGGGCATCCAGAGGAATCCACCAATATCTAATTGAAGATTTAGAATTCTTTGAAGGCCGGCGTTGGGATGCCATTTTTTATAAACCTTCAAAGAGAACTATCCTTGACAGCCACGGATGCACAATCTACACCGGAAAGGATGGTGACAGTATAAAGAACTCAGAATAACATAACTTTCAAGCAACTATTGACAATAGAAAAAAAATTTAATTACTAAGCTTGACCATTGTATTAGGCACCTATTTGAAGTAAGGAAATCTAAACAAGTAACACAAGCATTGTCTTAAAAAGCAGTATGCACATCTGCCTTGGCAGCTGCCTAAGTCTAAGCGGTACTTAGGCTGCCCGTCCAGGTCATGGAAGCGTCTAGGGGAGCATAGGTCACTTACACGGACTGCATCGCGTCAAAAAGGGATATATTGCTCACATAGGCATAATAACGAATGAAAAGAATGAGCCAAGTCAAAATGAATCTTATCAAAACTATATCCAAGTCCATCTTAGAAAAACAACGAGGATAGAAGTTTAAATCTTGGAAAATAATCATTCATTGATGCTAAAAACGCTGAGGTGCAGCTTAAGCATCCGCCTAGACTCTTGGGTGCTAGGCATCTAGAAGCGCCTAGCGCTTTCTAAAACTTGATCACAATTGTTTCTTTCAGAGTTCACTTGGAAGATTCTTGTAATGAAACCTAGAGAAATGCAGTCTGGCTTATAATATGACATGGTTTTTGTAATTCACCAGGTTGATACAATGGGATCACAATTTCTTTTTAGGCAATCCTGAATCTCAAAGCCTTGGCTAAATTAAATGGATTTTTATTTATCTGTCTAATTTCATGTCAATTTCATAAATACTATTTAACAAGTAACTCACAATGCCAAAATTCTTTCACATATAAGGTTAGGAATGACTGAGATTCATTAAAAGAAAAGTTCAATTAGCAGCCTGCTGACATTGACGACAACTAAATTTTATAGGAAGTAAGCTTAAACATTTAACAAATGTATGATGAGCAATGATAAAGACCAACATAATATGAGGAAACCTTATAAGTGTCTCATAGTTTTTAACTGCCAGTTGATTTATAGACAATGATACCTCTATAACTGGATTGAATTTTCTGCTAAAAGGGTTCTGATATGCACAAACCAAGAATATCAAAACTTCTCAATTCCTCATGGTTTCAAAGTCTCATAAGCCCAAATCTGACCTTTTACTAAATAATCCTTGCTTACATGAACAAAAAAAAAAAGATGGTTTAGCCTCAACCGGTCGTTGGATAGTTCAATTTGCATCAAAATATTGTCTAATTCCATAAAATAACTCCTATCTCTCCAATTTGTGTATCTTCATTTGGCTCATTTTCCCTCAGTTTCACTAAACCATAAGCATTCCAATATCTGAATTTTTATTCAAAATAATAACATGGGTATAGCTTTTCTCTCTTCAATTTTAAGTTAAATTTCTAGCAAAAGAATAGATTATTAGAACATCTAACTGAAAGATACCAGATAGCTAAGGATCTAACCTGAAAGCGTTTGTTCACTTGGGCAAAACATCAAACACCAAATGGGCAAGCAGACAAGTAAACCAAATACAGAGGAGAGTGATCCCAATGTGGAAAAGGGCAAGAATCACTGAAGAACCGAGAACGATTCTCAACTTCAAATTTGCTCCTTTTCGAGCTCCCCATTTGCTTGCTCCTCCTTTTATAGGGAGATTTTGGTGTCAACTTCAAATTTGCTCCTTTTCGAGCTCCCCATTTGCTTGCTCCTCCTTTTATAGGGAGATTTTGGTGAACATGTGGGTTCTCTCGATCGAGCATCTCCCCATTTGCTTGCTCCTCCTTTTATAGGGAGATTTTGGTGAACATGTGGGTTCTCTCGATCGAGCATCTTAAACCCACTTCTAAAATTTCTGCACCTTTTTCATGAGAGCAAACGTTTTCAATTCTGAGAGACTGAGCTCCCACCTCTTGAAAACAATAATGGAGCTCAAAAGGAGAAATTGAAAGACCAACCAATCACTGAATTACGTGTGGGGTGTGACTCGCTCTATATAACTTGTTATGTAAAATTAAAAGTTTTTTTTGTGTGGAATATGTAAAATTAAAGATAGTAGGGCCTTTTTGTAAAAATCTAGATGACCAGATCTTGAATGATGTAACGTTGGGACTAGGGGTAGAAATGAATCAAATAATTAACAAATAGTTTAATAAATGTTCATGTAATTATTATGTCATATTCGATTCGGTAGTTTATTTACCACTAAACAAATATATTTTAGTATCCGAGTTCACTAACGAATAGAATTTAACCAGATATATATATCTTCGATTCATTATTCTATTAAATATTCATTTAAAATTTGATCACTTATTATTTGTATTATTGTACATATGATGTCATATTTTTCATCCACTTACCATTTCTACTAAGTTTTATGTATTACTTTTAAGACTTGAATAATCTTAAATCTGTTTTCTAATGAAAATTTGAATTACATATATACATCATGTATCATAAAGGAATAATTTTTATTTATGAATTTAAATACTATTTAAAAATTAAATTCTTTAGCAAAATAAATATACTTTGATATTCGATAAGTTTTCGTGAATATTCATGAATATTTATCAAATACCAAGTATTCGAGTTCGAGTTCAAAAAACTCCATATATGAATATTAGAGTCCGCATTTGAATTCGATAATTTTAAACAAAGATAAATATGAACATCTTAGTATTCGATTCGATTTGATCGTTTACCACCCCTAATTAGGACAACCATAGGGGTGGGCAATGGGCCGTGCTGGCTCGTCATGCGGGCTCAGCGGCGAAGGTGAGCCAGCCCACGACTCGCATCGAGTTAAGCAAGTTGTGTTTTGCTGCTTATTCCCAGGTTTAGAGTTTAGCCTAGCCCGCTCGTAGGCCCGAGAACATGCGGGACGAGCCATGGCACGGGTCGGCCCATTTGGCCCACTTATTTTTTTTTCTACTTTTTGATACTTAATTGTTTTAGTATGTTTTTTCAATATTGTTTAAGACTTAAGAATTATATGTAAATAGCAAATTAACAATGACATGATTACTGTTGATGTTATGTAATCACACAGATAAACTGATAGGAACTGAGTTGATTAGGGGCCGCTAACTTCTCCGAATATATGGTTTGGAGTTGAGCAGTTCTTCCCTGCACATGTAGCAAAGGGTCTGATTCCCCTGTTGTTCCTCTGATGATCAAGTTAGCAAGGTACTTGAGTGGGGAAAAACGACGAACTGTAGCAGTTCTTAAGTGCAGTGGAATGAAGAAAAATGCAGAGAAATTGCTTACCCTCGTGTTGTGAATAGTTTTTCTTTTTATGATAATGAAGGAAGGGCATTTTGGTCTCTTTAGCCGAGTCAGTGTTGACGGCTAAGTCAGCGTCGACTTTACAGGTGTCAGTAGTGGAGTGATTGCGGAATGGCCGTCGTCACTTCAACATTAATGAGATGAGATAGATAGCGTGTAAAGCCGACATGGTCTGATGTGCCATAAATAGTACCGGGGATAGAAAAATGATGGCGCATGTAAAACATTTAATATGATGTCGACGCGCTGTCAGTGGGGGGCTCGAGGGTCGCAGTCGCCTTTTGTCTTGTATGGAGGGGTGTCAAGAGGTACCTTCTTTCGATTCAGCTCTCGTGAGATGTCAGCCAGACAACTAGTCGAGTAGACTTGTCGCGAGTAGTCTTTGACGAGAGGACCGATAAGTACGGCCTCTCGAGTTGACCTAGTGAGATGTTGACTCGGCGAGTCGGCTAAATCGAAACTCTGGCTGTCCCAAGTGTCGAGTTGACTGAATTAGGCATAATGTGTGATATTTATCTGTTGTTGACAAGAGATCACAATTTGGTGACTAAAAACACCATAAAAATTATAAAAATGAAAAAAATAATTTTATTAAGTAAAATTGTATATTTGCATACAATTATAGAGAGAACTACCACAAACACAAAGATTTAATGCAGTTCGGAGCAAGTTTTACATGAATGAGCAACATAATATTGTTTCACTAGTTAAAAAAAATACAAGAATAAAAAAATTACAAGAATAAAAAAATTACAATAAACTTTAAAGAAAAAAAAGATTCCATTACCAACTAAATGCGAGTCAATAGGCCTGGACAAACGAGTCATCCTGCTCATATGTAGGCCCAGCCCGCTCGCTAGGCCTTGTGGGCCGAGCGGGTTGTTGTCTCGCATTTGGCTTAGGCCGACCCGACAAAGTCCTACGGCTCGCTACTTGACGAATTAGGCATGTCCTGGGTCGAGTCGGGTTAGGCCGAACTCAAGAGCGAGTCGAGCGAGGAGGCTCATGGACCGACCCGGCCCAGTGCCCACCCCTAGGTCACAACTATAAATAAGAATGAAGGTTTTGGATTAGCGATGTAGGGTCCAATGTGGAAACAAAATGCTCCAGCTCTATGATGAATACAAAATTCCTATCCTAAAATATTTGCATTATTGGGTAGTAGGTTACCAGTTTGGCAACTATCCCTCACTCACGAGGTTAGTGGAACGAAGGTGGTTAAGGACTTACAGATGTGTTCGGCAACAACTGATCCATAATTAGACCACTTTTTTCGGTTAAAATTACCCGATTGTCTCTGATCCAACCTCGGACCTAAAATCTGATTAGTGTGGAGTTGTCAATCACACTTTAAATCTTTTCATTGTTTGGGTGGAAAGTATAATCATTGAAGCCTATTACCATTCTAGACTGTGTGTGTCTAAATCAGTACTGATAGGATCCCATATTTATACTCTTTTGATAGCTCATATACTTTTGATAAAATTCTAATTTGAATAAAAATGCATGTGATCTTGGATTTTATTACTTGATAAATGTAATAATAAAAAAGAACATCCTTACAGAATTGAATAAAATATGTCTAATTAAGAGTCTAATTAAGAGTTACGTTAATAACTCCTCTCTTTTTGAGTTACACACAACAATTTACGTGTATTAAACATATTTGTGAAAAGTGTATGAAAGTATTAAAGTTCACTTGAATAACTTATTGTAATTTTTTATAAACGTGTTCCATGGATTTTTAGGGGCTGTTTGTTTGCCTAAAAAAGAGGGAAATCAAAGAAATGGAAAACTATTTCTAAGAAAAATTGTTTTGGGAATGTTTGGTTGGCTAAAAAAAGAAGGAAATCAAATAAATGGAGATGAGATGATGTTAGTTGTCATCTTATTATAGGATGATGTGAGTGATTTTTTAAGAAAACATGTTTTGATGTTGTTTGGTTGACAAAAAAAAAATAAGGAAATGAATTATAAGAAACATATTTCTTATAATATGTTGTTTTCTTTTGTTTGGTTCATTCTTAAAAATAAGAAAATAGATTAGATGAGATGAGTTGTCATTATATTATTGGATGATGTGACTCATACTTAAGGAAATAGTTTTTCTAGCTTTTTGGGAGGAAATGGGTGGAAATGAAATGTTAATGAGATGAGTTGTCATCATCTTATTGGATGATGTGAGTGATTTGAAATGATGAGATGAGTTGAGTGATGTTGTGGATGAAAATAATATTTTATTAGATGTGGTGGATGAGTTGTTGGATGAAAATAATATTTTATTAGATGTTGTGGATGAGTTGTTGGATGAAAATAATATTTTATTAGATGTTGTGGATGAGTTGTTGGATGAAAATAATATTTTATTGGATGTTGTGGGTGAATTTAGAGATGGAAATGGATGAAATTGTACTTTTTGAGATTTCCACCTTTTCATTTCCATTTCTTGGTTTTTAGGAAATCAACCGAACAGACCCTTAAGGGAAAACTACACTAAACGTCCATTAACTTCAGCGTTTTACAATAAACCATATGAACTTTCAAAATTATATTAAACCCCGATAACTACAGTATCTTTCAATTAAGTTAAAATTAACCCTCAATAACTTTCAAAATGCCTTTTATGTTGTTTTTTTGGTTCTGTTTACAGAGGATGTCTACAAAATGCAAAAATTTATTTGGGGTTTCCACAAAATAGAAAAGTTATTGGGGTTTTGGTGTAATTTTGAAAGTTTATAGGGATTTACTGCAAAATGCTGAAAGTTTATGGGGTCTAGTGTAATTTACCCTTTTTTTAAGGCTGTATATCTCATACATATCCTTATCACCTATAGTATCCTTTATGCATATCATCTAACATAAAATCATAAGAAAATTCTACTAGTTTCTTCCTTCTCCCTAGACAATGATCATACATGCATTTTATGTTGCCCTAGCGGTGGGCATGAGTTAGGCCAGTTCAAGCCCGTGACCTGGCCTACCAGCTTCAAGGCCAGGTTAGGATGACCAGGGCCACCTAGATCAGAGTAGGTCTGGCTTGCCTTTTTGATCCCAGGTTTGGGATCAGACCCAACCCAGCCTAGCCCAAGACCTATGGCTGGGTCAACACACGAGTTTTTTTTTCAAATTTTCTTAATGTTTTCTATTTAAAAAATATTAAACTTGTATTTATATTTATAAAAATATATTTAATTTATTTTTTTCTATTTCAAACTCTTTATTTGATATTATGCGTGTTTGTTGCACAAAGATAAACATTACACATAAAAATATCGCAAACATACAGATATACATGGTTCGGACTATAGAATAAGATCTGCATCCATGAAAAGCTAATAATTTCTATTTAGTTTAAATTTAAATTACAAATAC